GTGGGTGGTACAGCTGAGGCACCTTGTGTTCATTACTGTTCTAACATGAGCACAATGGAGGTGATATCTGCGCCGAAGCAAACTACTTAGAGGCATGTTAATTATGAAGGACTGACAGGGCGTATGGGCGTATTGTATCTTGCCTTCAATGCTGCGTTAGAAATCATGTCTTGGAGCAACAACGCAAACAAAGTAGTATTCATTACCTTGCTAGACCTTCCCCCAGCATGGCAAGTGAGAAGTGTCTTGCCAAGTGTTGTCTTTCCCACAAATCGCTTTAAGCTCTCTTCGAAGAAACCTAATTCAACTTCTTCAAGCTGTCCAACCAGCTCTCATGTTTAGAGTTTGCCTCCAAAGCTTCTGATCATAGAGCTTTGCAACATCATGAAGCGTCAGCAAGCGATTCCGGGGAGATTCGTCTCCTTTCGCCGAAAACTCCGTTTTGCTGAATCAACACGACCGGATATGAAAGTGTCAAACGACAAAGTAAATCGACTTGCGCCTCGATCCAAGGAATCCAAAATCATCCACGTGTTGTTTGGCCAACGCACAATGGAATAGTAATGCATTGCTCCTTGATGAGGCCCAAAGAGTGCAAACACATGGTTGGAGGCCATTGGAGGCCATTACTACCAGGAACAAGGACGCTACTAGGGTGGAGGCCATCGCTCTTAGGTTGGAGGCCATCGCTGCTGACAAGAACACATCGTTGAGTGTTGTGGCTCGGTGCAAGCCAAATCTCTTCCGGGTATTCTTTCATAGACCAGGAAACCACGGAACCACCAGCGCTGCCGTCGTTGGACTTTTTCTTGCTTCGGGCTTTCTTCTTCCTTCTCCTCATTACTACTAGGTCAAGGGCATTCCTACTAGGGCATCGCTACTAGGAACCAGGGCATCACTTCAACTCGCTTGCCTTTTGGTGCTCCTTGTCGTGCGCTCGGCTTTCTTGACTTACTTCCTTCACTTGTGTTGCCGCGTCTGCAAAAGCAGAGACCTCTGAGTCTTGCCAAGTGGGTTTCGGTTCCACATCAATGACCTTGCGACAGTCAACAGACCGCACCCATCCACTTGAAGATGCAAACTTCCTCCGCTCATGTGAGTGTCAAGCTTCAACTCTGAGTTTCATTCAACTCACAACGCTAATCGGTTTCCCTCGCGCCTCAAACCCTTTGGATCTGGCCGCCAGTTTGATTGCTTCAACATCAAACATTCCAGTGCGCTGCCTGCCAAGGTGCCAACGAGTGTCTAGCCGGTGCCGATTGTTCCTAGTAGCGTCCTCTTGCTCCTAGTAGTACGGCCAGGAGCGTCTTTGCTCCTAGTAGCGATGCCAGGAGCCCCTAGTAGCGTCCTTGCTCCTAGTTGGCATGAGGTTCTTTTCGTTTGCCGAGTTGCTCTTCTGGCCAACTGAGGCCAGAATCAGCCCGCAGAAGAGACAGCTGCCTAGGTGGCACGAAACCGCAGCTCGCCTTCTCCTCAAAACAGAGCAGTTGTGTAGTGCTGTCGGCCAGCTCGCGACATGCCAAAAACGCGATCAAGCCGGACCAAAAAACAGTGAACAAACACGCATTCCAAAACACAGGCAAATGGATCTGCGTGCTTTTACTTTTGAGGTATGTGACCCTTCACGCTTGCAGGAAAGTATGCGATGGTCTCCAACCTAATGGCGATGGCCTCCAACCCAGTAGCGATGGCCTCCACCCTAGGAGCCCTTTCAAGCTACAGCCAACTTGTGCTGTGACGTTAACATGGGATGCAGCCTGCCCAACCAACACACGTTCCAACCCATGGTTTGCAGTGCCCAAAAGGTACCCGACGAACTCAGCAGGAAACAGCCGAAATAACACTCACTTTTCTGACATTGTTCTTTAATCAAGCACCGGACAAAAGACTATGATGATGGTTGGTGTGCCCACGATGACCTTACATCGTGAAAAACCTGGGATCACGACTTGCAATTTTTGCTGAAGAGTTTACCATGGCTTGCTATGATCTTGTTCTCACTGTCCGGGAGAAGACCCGCTCGAAGCCCTGTGGTTCAAACTACCATCTCGTGAGGAAGACGTTGATTCTGTAAGAAAACGCATTGCCCAAGAACCACGTAAATCTTGGAGGCCCTCGCTCTTAGGTTGGAGGCCATTGCTATTAGATTCCTTTTGCTATTAGTTTGCCCTTGGCAGGAAATCCCACCTTCGCCCTTGAAGCGTTTGAGCGCAGGAAGTGATGAACGGTGGAGGCGTCTAGCGCGTGCAAGTGTCACCATGACGCTGACCCATGTGGCCATGTGGCCCCTCCAAACCGCCCAAAAGGCAAGGACGCTACTAGTAGCAAGGTGCATCGCTACTAGTAGCTCCCAGCCTAGCATTACTACTAGGAACAAGAAGCTAGTTCCACACCCAGCATACGTTCCTCGCTACTAGGGTGGCATGCATCGCTACTAGTAACGAGAAGCTACTAGTAGCAAGCATAATACACTTTTCGGTTCCGGGAAAAGCTTCTTGAGCCCCTAGTCGCGTCCTTGCTCCTAGTAGTAAGGCCAGGAGCCCCTAAGTAGCTTCTTGTTACTAGTAGCGATGCACTTGTTACTACTAGTAAGGCACTTGTTACTAGTAGCACGGCCAGGAGCCCCGTTCGTCGTCCTCTTGTTCCGAGTTGCTCCACGAACCCTCCGACCCGCCCTCCGTGTGGCCATGGAAACTGCGCTCCTCGTCTCGGGATTCGACTTCAGCGGCTCGCAGTGTGGCCATGGAAATGGGCCCCACCAAACCAGCAGTTGAAGCCCAGGACTCCTTGCGCGGCCCACTACTTAAGAGGTCTGAAGAGCGCCTCCCACCTTAAAAGCGATGGACTCCAACCTAAGAGTACAAACTGAACACACATAACTTTGAATGCTAAATATCGAGGAAGCGGCTCAAGCCCTATAGCAAAAATGTATAAAAATGTTCAGCGCAACGGCTCTCCTTCTCATCATGTTGCTCATCCTAAACAGCAAGTCTACATGGACGCTCGCAAAAAATGCGGGTCACTGGGTCTTGACAGAAACTGCATAACTGCAACTGAAACCAGCTGACGGTTCGAGAGCAGAAAAAAAAACAATAGTTGTCCATGTATGGCTCATAATCTGGTGGCGTCCGTCCTTGTGTATTGCTTGCCGTACTTCCTCTGATTTTGCAGCTGCTTCTTCTGGGCTTCGTTTTGGCTGCAAGAGGTTGTTCAGGCCTCGCATTTGCGTATAGTGATCCGAAAGCAGATCTGGGGCAACGCTTAAGAACTGGGGGAAGCTTGAGAAGGAGCATTGGCCAGTGCCCAGTTATTGTTTTGGATCCAAGACACTGTGGATGGCACACGTATCACTACCAAAAGGCTGGCGCTCAAACGCGGCCTTGGCTTGCGTGAGATCATGTGCAAATTGCTTGTCGAAAAATCTGCATCAACACTGCAAAGGTGGATCTGCGACGCAAACAAAACCACGCCAGGCCGAATATAGTTTGCTACTAGCTTGGAGTCCATCGCTAGTAGGTTGGAGGCCATCGCAATTAGAAACTAACATGTGCCACATTGCGTTTTCTAAAGAACAACACCACCGGACAAGCATTGTATGGGTTCATACACGCTGCGTGAGGATGACACTTCCTGAGTCTGTTGCCCCCAATTCGCAGAGCTTCCGCTCAGAAAGCCTCTCCCCCGGCCTAGGCTGTGCCTTGCGCAACTCCTCCTCCTGAAGGGCAACACATGAAGAATATGCGCTAAAAAAACACATCAAAGTGCACGGACTTAAGTACAAAGCCTAGAGGCTCCAGGTATTTCGGCACCAAAAAAAGAGCACATCTTTTTGCTTCGGCACCAACTGCCTCTTTTCAAAAGAACATTTACAAAGTGCAAGCGACCACACATGTCTTTGATGCTTCCAAACGCCCAAACTCAGAACATGGATCCTCCAAAGTCTTCGAGAGCACCTCTGCTGCGAGAACATCGCTGGAGAATGGCTCCTGGACCAAAATGCTTGCTATGCTTTGGCGTAGCTTTGCATTCGGCACCCTCTGTGATCAAATTATATAGCTCTTCTGGACAAGGAAACGTTTTCCCACGAAAGCGGAACGCATACTTTCTGCATGCATTGGTGAGCGCTTCTGGCATTAACGCTCTAGAGCACCTTTAGCGTTCTGCTGCCGTTGCTGCGTCATCTGCTGCTGCTGCGACCTCTGCTGCCGTTGCTACGTCGTCTGCTGATGCCGCTGCCGCCACTGACAGAAATATGGCCCCTGCCGCGCAATTTGCACATCGAGGTCGATGAAGTGCTGAGCCCGCGCCACGAAATCTGAAGTGCTCGAGACATCTCCCGAATTCCCAGCGACTACATGTCCAAGAAGTGTTGCCGCTGCCACGAACTCTGAACTTGAAAGTACATAATTTCTGCGTGCGTCGAGGTTCACAAACTGCTTCGCTTGCGACGAAGCTGCAACTCTAAAATAGTAAGAGCAACAACGGCAATTTTGAGCCGAGGCTTGTTTTTGTGCAGATTTTAATTTGGCTTTGCTTGGTTTTGCCGTTTTGCCTTGCTTCTCTAAAGTTTGCTGCTCCTCCACTTGCACGGCTTCCCTTCTGCCTGCAATTCACGCAGAAATCCTTGCTGTGCTTTTTGCTCGGTCAATGGTCATACTCTCAGGTTTACACCACGAGTAGCTAGAAAGCTATAGTAGCGATGACCTCCAACCCAATAGCGATGGCCTCCACCTCGTAGCTTCTAGTTACTAGAAAGCTTCTTCTGATCCAATTCATCTTTCCTATTTCATATACAATTTCTTTGTCCTATATGCATGATTTCATCCTTGCCTTGCACTGTTTCTGCTTGTGCCTTGGCGGAATGATGGCGGAATACAATGGAACTTCATCTGATGTAGAGTTGCAAAAACGGGAAGGAATAGTTCAGTGCTCTTGAAACAAGTACTCTTCCACATCTTCTGGCATGCTGCCACCCGCATAAACTCTGTTCGTGTCTTTTTCTCGTTCACCGCCTTTTGTCACGGCCGAATGATTCTCACCAGCTCCACCTCACAATAAGCTACTAGGAACAAGTGCATCGATTCTAGTAACAAGTGCCTTACTAGTAGTAACAATGTTTGCTATTAGAAACAATATATAGAATTCAATTTAATTATAATAGCTTTTTGTTACTACTAGTAAGGCACTTGTTACTACTAGTATGGCACTTGTTACTAGTAGTAACAAGAAGCTATTAGAAACATTCTCACCAGCTCCACCTCGTAATAGAGAGTCGATCCTGGAGGTATTTGCTTGACGTCGGAATTTTCAGCTCCTGCACCAAGAGTGGAGCACATGGTATCATTTTAAAGGCAACCTACTAGCGCGATGGCCTCCACAAAGCACAGGTTTGTGTAAATACATGTTTCTTCCAAACCACCGTTTTTCAGTGTCGAGTTCCTTCCAAAGGCATTGTCCCTTCACCGAAGCTCATGCTCGGTGGTTGCACGAAGCGCCCCTGCGACTGACTGCCAGAGCAGCGATGAAAAAGAACGTTTCGGTCACAAAGGTTGAGATGGTCATGTTTGGTCACTTTCACGCGATGTGTTTGCTGCCTTTTGGCCATATGTTGCAATTACGGTCTTCCGGTCTTCTGATGATGTGAATACATGTGGATATTGCCTATTATCACTCGTGACTCTATTGGAAGAGATCAAATACCTCCCTGGTTTGGCATCCCACTGCGAGTTAAACGTTTTTCTGGTCCGACATTGATTTCGCAAATTGCTCTCCTTGCCTCTTGGAATCAACGGCTTGTGTTTTTTCCACATTTAAGAACTATGAATGAGTTTCTGAGCCGACCCCAGTTTGGGTTGACTTTTTAAAACTCTGTGTATGCTCCCACAACGATGATGCCAGCTTGCTTGTGGCCCTTTCAAACCAAAAGCGGACCTGCGCCGGATTCGCCCTTCCATCCACCTTCGTCAACGAGATTTGCTGTCTGGTTTGAGCTGCCCAGAAGTGTGGGGATGTGGCGCATGGTGATCTGAAATGTGAAGTGTGCTGAGGTGAAGTGTAGCCATGGAGTGGTGATTTGAGAAGTGTAAAGTAGTAGCAACGTCTAATGTGATCATATGTCTTTAGGCGAAGGTGAAGGTGAGGGAGATGTGGCAGGTACTGCAGTGATTTGTATCTTTCTCCTCGCTCTGTCGAGTCTTCTGCAACTTTCCTCAAAACCTCTGCTGGTTGGTGGAACTTCTGTTTTTTCTACATCTGCCTCCCTGTCACCCCCTTTCTGTACTTGATTCGAACACCGTCTCCAAACCTCTACTTTTTACTGTTCTTTCTCTTGATCGTGGCTTTTCAAAACTTAGGTTGGAGGCCATCGCTAGTAGGTTGGAGGTCATCGCTCTTAGGTTGGAGGACATGCTGGCTTTCCACGCTTTGTGCTAATGAGCCTTGACCTTCATTCATCCTTTCACAGATTTCCAATAACTTGACCAATAACAAACAAAAGGGCAAAAGTCCAAGATACCTTTGCGCCTTTGGGTACGTTTTTGCAACTTGAAGGCGGAGTATTCAAAAGCACCGCAGGGCTCATGGCTCCCAACTACCTTGCGCCCGCACTTCTTAAAGAAGGACAACATGTGTACTTGCAGGAGCAAGGACGCTACTAGGAGCAAGAGCACACCTTCACGAAGAACGCCACTGCTTTTTTATCAGTGTGCAGCATTCATTCACGCCCAGTTTCCCACAACAGAAACGCCCCTCGTCTCTTCAAGTTACTTTGTGCCGTTGGCCGCCTCTCTCAAAGTCGCTACTACTTCCGCTGCGCAATTGCCTTGCAAACTTTGACTTCCTACCCTTCTTTGATTCCTCAATGAAGCCGTGCCCTTGGCGCCCCAACCCTGACACGAAGCCATGGCAATGCACTTCAAGAATATGCCTGTGCTGCATCCGACACAGCCTCAACCTAAGCGCGCTTGACCAACCCAATAGCGATGGCATCCACCTAGTAGCTTCTTGCTCATACCTTCCATCTATTACCCTGGACTGCTACACCTCGCAAAATGCGCAACACGCTTCTGCCGCATTCGCCCAAGTGTGTGAAAAGAGCCGAGCGCCTGGGATTTGCGCGCCACGCGGAACTCACCCCAAAACCGCTGCCCTTCTCACTTACAGCTGTAAATCAGAACCCTCGTGCCACCAAACCCTGCTCATTCATCAATCTCTGAAACCGGTTGCAACTTGGGACTTTGTCACCCAAATGGTGATCGAACATGGTTATGGACATCATCTCCATTAATCTCCTGTTGGGCAAAACAGCAGCTGAATCTTGTACAGAAATGCGCAGCATCCGAACGCGCCTGTTCCCCGACTTTCATGCGATGCACGGCCTCAAAACTACCAGAAAACACAATAACCATTGTGCCAACAACGCGCCTCCCACATGGCGGGAGCAAAGCTGTCATCTAGATCTGCGGTGATTTCCACGTAGTCCTCGCTCGCGCAACTGCTCATTTCTTGCGAAGCTGTCCAATGTCTCCGTATGTTCGGGAAAACATTGCACCACTCCACAGGAAGATGGACTTCAGCAACCCAAGGAGAATTGGGCGTATCACTGTATCACTGAGCTTTTTGCAACATGGGGGGGCACGCCCTCTCGCTTGGAGGCTGCGCCGCTGTGCTTGTGTGGGCTTGGTGGGTGATACGTTGCCACTCTACTTGGGTTTGAGGCAACAGAATGGATCCTGATTGGTCCGTGATGGAGCGCTGAATAGGATCCCGGTCCATGAAATTTCCTAGTGCAAGGTGGAGACTGATTTCAAGTCATAAGTAGCGATGGCCTCCATTGGCCTCCAACCTACTAGCAATGGCCTCCAACCTACTAGCGATGGCCTCCATAGGAATGGCCTTGACCCCAATAGCGATGGCCTCCAACCTATGTTTCGTTTCCATTTGCCTTTGGTGCAACATAATTAGGGTGCCAAAAGAATTAAATGTCCTTTGCGCGACTTGCTGTTTGTCTATTTTGCTGGGAGGAAACTAGAAAGGTTTGGTCCAGGGAGAGTTGACGTTGTCTCATTGAGACCATTGTATGAAACAGGCGGAGAAAAGAACTCAATTTTGGAATCATTACCGTGTTTTACTTTTTGAATGTCTATTTGCACATCTTGGTATACAATTCAAGGATTAACCTAGAAAGCTTTGGACCAGGCCGAGTAAACACTGTCTCATTAAGGCAATGTTTTGAGGAAGAATTATCTTGAATTCTTCAACAGTGTGCCTTTTTGAATGTCTGTTTGCACAAATTGCTGCTTGGGGTACTCCTTTGAGAGATTAGGAAGATAGAAAGGATAGGATCAGGGCGGAAATAACTCTGGAGTTAATTCTTCCGCACAAAGCCAGAAAACTGCAACTGGAGCATTGAGGTAGAACTGACTGTGGAGTTATATCTTGGCAGAACAACTGCAATGAAACAGAATTGAAGCTAAAGGGAATTCATTCATGAACCAAGACACATATAAATAATAAGAGCTATTTTCTGGAACTACCATACCAGCAAACCCAAATGAAAAGAATGTAAATCAAGAGTTATACAATTCGGTCAACCGCAACATACTTGCGGTGTTGATGACACAAGGACGATTCAACTTTCGGATTTGCGACGCATTCGGCGTTTTCCAGGCATTCTGAAAAATTACAGTATGTCTTCGAAGCTACTAGTAACAAGGTTGGCCACTGGGGGCTCCTGGCATCGCTACTAGGAGCAAGGATGCTACTAGCTCCTGGCCGTACTACTAGGAACAAGAGGACGCTACCAGTAACAAGGCCCTGCGTCCTTCTGACCATTGCGGCGGAGGGTGGAGGAGTCAAACACCGGACCATCGAAATTGCCAACGTGTCCAGTGAACCTCGCAACTCGGGGCTGGAATGAATTACTGTTTCATGTTGATCAATCTAATTTCATTGTTGTTTTTTTGTGCAGTTGCTCTTAGTGAGGCTTCAGCTTCAGCCATATCTTGGCATATTTCTTCACCTTCGTGTGCAAGAGGTACAACTGATGCTTCTTTTAGCAGTGGCTCTTTGCTTGCATGGCCACAGCGCAAAGCATAAGCGCCGTGCTGGACCATCCCGGGGCTCTGTGCCGGAGGTGCCCGGCAGCAATGTTTCATAGATGAAGCTGTCGAGCACCGCCTGGCTCACCCGTCTGACCACTTTGAAGCAACACAACACGTCGGGACATTTTAATCGCAACGATTTTGATGAAGGTTGGGAATGGTTTGCGCGTGGTGCTATTGCACACACATGTGCTTTGCGCCCGCTGACAACACAGGTTCAGATCTAGCCGCAGTGGGGCCAGTGTGCATGTGTGCAAGACACCTTTAGTCTGAGGAAGTTCCTCCCCCCGTTTCTACGATTGACCTTTGTTGTTCCAGGGATAGCGGTTCTAGGCTTTGGTTGATGTTTCTCCGAGTGGGGACATTGAATGTGTAGCAAGAAGCTACTAGTAACAAGTGCATCGCTAGTAGTAACAAGTGCCTTACTAATAGTAACAAGGACGCTACTAGTGCAACCGGCAATCACAAGCAATGGGAATTCTTCCGGGTACTTGATGTCGACATGAGAATCTGCATGTTTCGTTCGGAGCATGTGTGTCTACAAACATGATCTAGCGTACCTTGGGTACGGCTGGGTGTACATACAGTTCTGAACAGTTCTTTTGCCAGTCTGGGCGCCTTGTCCACGCCATTTGCTGCAGAAGGCCAGGCTGCCACAAGCAGCGGCAACCTCGACCCATTCATCAAGTCATGAATCCAAGCGACCCTTTGAATTTGGGTAGGCCATTGCTAGTAGGTTGGAGGCCATCGCTACTAGGGTGGCCGCTGGTTGACTCTAGGACTCTAGGAGAGGTAGATGACTGCAAGTAAGCAGATCGGAAGCCAGTAGCAAGGAGCCCACTAGACGCAAGGATGCAGAAGGGCTCCAGTTCTTCAACTTGTTGAGGGCTAAGCTTCCTTGAAGAACCCTTCCTTGAAGAATCCTTCTAGAACCCTTCTTGATTTCTAGGGAAATTGATCTACTGCCCTTTTGGTTTCGGCTTGAACCAGCCAAAGAACGTCAGCAGGAAAGGTGTAAATGGTCTGGGTTGCTCCATTTGCGATTCATTGACAGCGCGCTCAAGAACCCGAACACAATCTAGACAAACAAAGAACAACAAAAACATGATAAAAAGAAGGTAAGGGCATCTTTGATCAGGCCCCTTTAAAGGGGGCATTCTTAAGAGGCTCTTACCTTCATTTCTTTTTTTCGACCCTTTGATTCTAATAAGCTCCTTCTGCTCTTCCTCATGTCTTCAACTCCAAGTCAATGACAGCCCTCGGCGACGAACTTCGCCGCATAACCAGCACGTATCAAAAGTGGCCTGGAGCTCACTTGACCACCCTCCTGAGGCCCTTTCTACTAGCGATGGCCTCCCCTCTAATAGCGATGGCCTCCGCCCTGATAGCAATGGCCTCCAACCTACTAGCGATAGCGTCAAACCAACAACCTTTTTTCATACTTAGTATATATGAATTATGCTATATCATTTCTTTCGCTTCTTTGGAGACAATAGCCACAATCCAAGGCTGTTAACTGCAGTCACGATGCGATAAGAAGGCACAGCAAAAGGCTGAGCCTGCGACTCGGCACGCACAGCACATGACATCAAGCAACCCATAGCAGCCCAGAACACATGAAATCAAACAGAAATGGAAACAAAACACGCAAGCAATGCAACCCAGAACATTTGCTCATGAGGTATTGAGCCTGGCCAAAACTGCACGGCTGCCCATGAAGGGGTGGGAGGCTACAAGGAATGGAAGGAATGTATCTGTTTATTTGTTTCTAGTAGCGATGGCCTCCAACCTAATAGCGATGGCCTCCAGCCTCCGGAGCGATGGGCTCCAGCCTCATAGGGTTGGCCTCCAACCTACTGGCGATGGCCTTTTCACTTAGAAGCGAAGGCAACAATCTTTGTTTTGCCTGACCTATCATGCAGATGGACCTCTGTGAAAATGAGCTAAATACTTCATGTAGACTGGCTAAGCCAAAAACTCTTGCAAGATCTTGCATGTATCCATGTGTCACAGTGATGAGACGCTTGGATAATCACTTTAGAGTAGGCCAGGATGATCGAGGCTCTCACCAGGCACTCCAAGTACTCTGAAACCACAGCAGTCGCCACTTGCACTTCTTCTCCTTCTCCAGGCCTCCCAAACTCTATCAACATCTCCAGATTTTCCGATACATCTCGTGGACGAAAGCTTTGGAATTTGCATCTAGTAGCCATGGCCTCCAACCTAGTAGCTACTTGCTCCTAGTAGTACGGCCAGGAGCCCCTAGTAGGTTGCGAATTTATTTCTGTTTTTTTTTCCGTTTTTTTTTGTTTTTTTTGTTTTTCGGTTGTTTTCCATTGATTATTTTGTTTTTCCTTTTCCCGTTTTCTTTTCCCTTTTCCTTTTCCCTTTTCCTTTTTCCTTTTTCCTCTTCCTTTTCCTTTTTCCTTTTCCCTTGTCCTTTGCCTGTTTCCTTTTCCTTTTGTGTTTTTCCTGTTCCTTTTGCCTTTTGCCTTTTCCCTTTTTCCTTTTCCTGTGTTCTTTTCTTTTTTCCCCTTTCCTTTTTGTTTTGACTTTTTTTTTAAATCTTTTCCTTTTTTCTTTTGCTCTTTTCATTTCCTTTTCCTTTTCCTTTTCCCTTTCCCTTTCCCTTTCCCTTCCTTCCTAGCAGCACCGCTTTGAAGCAAGGGAAGCCAAAAAAGCCACAAAAGCCAAAAGCCAAGAGAAGCCACCAAAGGCCAACAAAGAAACAAAAGCCAAAAGCCACCAAAAGCCAAAAGCCAAGAGAAGCCACCAAAGGCCAACAAAGAAACAAAAGCCAAAAGCGAAAAGCCACCAAAAGCCAACAAAGAAACAAAAGCCAAAAGCCACCAAAAACCAAAAGCCACCAGCCAAAACAAAAAAATCCAAAAAGAAAACAAAAGAAATCCAAAAATAAATACCCCTCCCCCTAGTAGCGTTCTTGCTCCTAGTAGCGATGCCCTTTGCTCCTAGTAGCCATGGCCTCCAACCTACTAGCAAAGGATACACATTTTGCTGAACAAGACGTGAAACAAAAAGCAATGCGAATGAGAAAGACATGGCCTCAGTGCGCCGTCCACTTCTTCGAAGCCACACGCAAGAAACAAAAGCCTCCACAACTTGTGTAGAAAAGACCCAATTCGTTTCCTTTTCTATTTAGATTCTCTTTTGAACAAAACAAAGTAAATGACGAATGACGTGCTGGCCCGACATCCTGCCCTTGCCATGAAAGTCGACTTCAAACCCAAATGAGAGAGTCTCTTGCGATTGAAAGTGACCAAGGAAAATTCGCACGTCACAAGAGACAAATCACCATGACACAGCACTGCACCTGCGCCTAGCACTGGAACATCCAAATTAGACTTGGACAAGCCTGACTAGTAACAAGAAGCTACTAGTAGCTAGAATGACACTCTGACTGACTAGCGCATACGTTGTGGTGAGAATCTGACTAGTGCATGGTCTTTGAATTCAGTTTGGCCTCGAGTAGTAGCCCTGGTTCTTGGCGATGATTGGTCTCTTTTTCACCATTTTTGTCATTCGAGGCTTGTCAATAATTTGATATTAATAGCAAGAAGCTACAGAGAACTGCTAAAGTCGTGCCTGTATGTAGGAAATCGTAGCAAATAGCTTGGGGAAAGGGTTTTTCAGAAGTCGTGCCTTTTTGCTCAACGCATTGTAAATGCAATCCCGAAGGGATGAAATCAAACCGGTGGCTGAGTTTTTCGTGTGCAGCTCAAACCACTGTGCCGAAAAGAGCCATTGTGGTCCGTGTTTCAGAAACAGGTTCTGAACAAAGGGATTTTGAAATCCACCTCCGGCCGAAGCGCTTGGCTATCGGCATGGCGTGCAAACCGTGGAAAGCGGTTTGCAAAAGTTGCCAAAAAATAGAATTCAGAGATCGCACGGCTCCAAAAACTGTTGCGTTTTGCTTGGGGGAAGCATGAAAGGCATGAGATAGGCATGACTTTCCTAAAACTGCGTTTACATGCTGGAACACATAGATTTCAGGACGCAGGCGTGAGTTAGGCATGAGTTTCGCGCTTGCCTGTACTAGGAACAAGTGCATCGCTTCTAGTAACAAGTGCCTTACTAGTAGTAACAAGGACGCTGCCGCTACTAGGAACAAGAAGCTACTATTACGATTGGTGTTCATTCCCTGTGCAGGTTTCTCGTCTTGCAGCCTTGCTTTCATTCGAGCCCATTTGGATTTTGACGGGAAACACCTTCCATACACTTTCATATTGCAAGCCTGGGAAAGAACGGAAAAACACGTCCTTTCAAGAAAAAACAACAATAAGAAGCTACCAGGAACAAAGGGAATCGCGACAAACGGAGCAAGGGCATCGCTACGAACGGGGCGCTCCTGACATCGCTACGAAACAACACACGATTTCAGGCAGTGCGGACTGTCAATAGCGCTGCGTTGAGCCAAACCAAACCTTGGAACCGTTGACGTCACATTGGAGTAATTGCAACTAGTAACAAGTGCCACGCTACTAGGAACAAGTGCATCGCTACTAGTAACAAGTGCCTTACTAGTAGTAACAAGAAGCTAGTAATTGATAAACATTTCATGACATTTCAAGGCAGTTTCTTGTTCTGTCCTGGTTCTTGCATGTTTGAGTCACCAAGTGCTTAGACCTGCCACAGATTTCAGCCCCAAAGTGCCTCGAAGACTCAACTTGAGAGGCCTCGTAGTCCTCAACCTGAACACATATTCACCAGTTTACCCCAACGTGCAAGTAAGCAAACTGTACAAGCCTCTTGAAATTGCATATGCCTCTCATGGCCCTAAGATGCTGCGCATGGCACCGGCCAAAAAAAATCTTAACTTCAAGGTCTTCCCTCTTCATGTGTACTATAATATGAGCGATTCTGTCAGCATCAAACCGCCTTGTGGCGTCTTCCCTACCAGACCATAATTGCAAATTGTTGGACATTAAGTCAGTGAAACCTTTACCTTCCACACTTGCAATCACTACATGATTCTGGCATTTCGAGGCTGTTTTGTCCCCGAATCACAATGCAAACACAATGTGAATCAGCTTCGCTCTAAGTCAACATCGCTGGATTTGAATAAGCGATGGCCTCCACACTAGGTTGGAGGCCATCGCATCACTTAGGCATTCTCGCGAAGCTTGTTGCCTATGGCCACGGCCCTAGTGCACCTCCGGAACAGCGATTTGCTCGCCACGCTGCGCTGCTTGCAGGAGCTGAAGAACTCCCTTCACCCAAGCCTTTGTAAAGAGTCGCAACAAAAGTTACAAAGACACGCAACGACTTCTTGTGACATGCGCGCATTGGATGAAATGAACGTTTCTTATTGAAGTACACCGTAACTAATTACAAATGAAACCACAACCAGGATCCAGATGTCTCATCTTCAACAGCATGCTAAGCATCTGAAGGGGAGGAAGAACACAACCAAGCAATTGAACCAGACCCGAACTCAACGCTGCACTTGCTATCCAACACAAGCCGCCATGGGCCGTGGCTTCTGGCCACGATTGATCGCAACCGCGTTGTTTCTCTTGAACGCAGGATCTGTTGTTTAAACCCTTGGATGTGGCTGGTTTTTGTCTATTTGTTCGTGGGCTTCAGCTTGTTTTGACCTGTTGCTTGCAGGGGCCCGGAGTTGATTTTATTGACTCTGCGGATTGTTTCAACAATTCCATGACCATGACGCAAGAACCAAATGGGGATGTGGGGTTGGCGTGGTAAAGTCGCGTCAGAGTCAGGTCGAACGGTCTACCTCAAAAAAATCAATAGCGATGGCCTCTCCAAAACAAGTATGATGCAAGGTCGTTTGCAGTAGTATCGGTGTAGTAACAGCAGAAGTGACACGAACCTGTCGCGACCCACAACGAATGTTGCTCACCAGACTTTCTCCAAAACTCGCAGCTCACTGTACGAAACCAAAAGTGGGACGAGGCTCTGGTCAAAAGCCAAATGAGAACATTCAAAGGAAGGAACGCTCATGTCGCGCAGCAATGTAATACAGACGGCGTAACATCCCAACGGTGCATGAAACGTGCATGCTACTCACCCAAGACGTAGTGCAGTGGTATGCGAGTACTAACAGTTGCAAGGGCGGTGTCGTAACGACAAAAAAACAAAGCTTCTTCCCAAGTGGACAAGAGTGCGGGAGAACATCGAACAAATGAATCGGGTAGAACGGTAGAACTTAGAAAGGACAAGATGACCCTACTAGGGGCTCCTGGCCATACTACTAGGAGCAAGAAGCTACAAGAGTGTATAGATCGCTATCATCTTCAGCAGACTTTTTGGAGTGGTGTAAGCGTAAACTGCCTCGACCCCATTCTTGGTTTGCCAGATCTCTTTCCGTTTAAGATTGTTTGCCTCGTGTATGTACGTCAGAGTCAAAAGTATCTTTTTAAAAATGAGAGCACACACATGGTAAGGCCCCTTCAAGGGAAAAACCATTGCCATTTTCTTCTTTAAAAGAAAAACAATGCCTTGTAACGCCATGTTTCCTCAAATTTCTGAGGTCCAAGGCTTCTCACTCAAACTCTGAGCAAAAAACCTGATGGGATGTTGGAGTAGCTCCATCCTAAGTCAAAATGCGGGCTTGACAGCTGAATAGTTTCAGAATCGTTGGTGGACTTGTCAGAAGTCTGCGAATCATAGGAAGAAAATGAAAAACAACCCAACAGAGATGAAACAGAGAAGGTAATTACAAACAAGGACCCCTTCAATGACGACCCTTTTCAAGGGGGTCTTTCCATTCCTTTCTTCATCCCTGCTTGCTAATATAACCGGCTGAACTTATTTCCAATGCAAAACACCCCTCGCACTTGATCACGACTGTCCAGCCTTTGCTGATTGCAGGATGCCCTGACACTTCACAGTTGGAAACTGTTGTTTTGGCTGACCTCTCCTTAATGGGCGATGGCCTCCAACCTAACAGCGATGCCTTCCAAACATGGCGGGTTCACCCGGATTTGGTCCGTGAAGTCACGTGACGACATCGAGGCATTGGTGCAAGCTGTGCCAGCTGTGAACGTGGAACGCCACAACTTATATCCGTGTCAGACAGCGCAAAGTGCTGAGACCTATGGGTATTTGTTTCTGCTGTTGGCAGGTAGGCGATCGCACAGCTTTTCTTGAGCCACGCGCACACGATTTGGCATCTAGTTATGCCCTGAGGTTCAAACTCAGCTGGGTGACATGTTCACATCATCCAGCTTTCAAGTGTACTTCCGTGCACACTCCCCCTGCCGTGGTTCACGGCATCTCCACAAAAAGAAGAAGTTAGACTTAGTCTTTGATCAACTGAAATCCATCATCGGACCCTGGCTCAGAGGTGCCCTTCGGACTGGCTGCAGGACTGTCGGTTTGCTGGGTGTCCTTCTGCCTATCCTGGAAACCCTTGAGCACCCAGCGTGCCTTACATTTGAGCAAGTTACCGTCCTTATCTTTCTTGATCGTAAGGACCCAGCGACCAGCGACAAAGTTCCCGATCTTCAACTTACGCATATCGCGAAGCTCGAAGACATCATTATCGAACTGCGACTTGCACTCGGCTTGTTTGGCTGCTAGGAACTGTTTAGCAAACTGTCGTTTCTCTTGCTGGGTAGCTTCCCTGCGTTTCTTGCCGACAAGATAAGAGAACTTGTCTTCCTTGGACTGGCAGAAAGATAGGAAGGCCGTGTCTTCATCCGTAATGCTGGAGCAGCTTTCCTTCCTATCGGCGTAATTCTTACGAATGAGCTGACGTTTCTTCTCTGCAATGTATGAAGACGGAACGAAACCTGCGAACCTCCAAGACGTCCAAGGGCCTCTGACTCTGTTCAAGTGTTCAAGAGTTCAAGACCTGGGCCAACACAAGTGGATCGGGCGTGGCCAGGTTGAGCTCCTGCGCACTCTGAATCCACCGCCTCCATTGACGAATCCCTGACAGCACATTCTGCTTATGATGTGGCCCGGCTTCAGGTCAGTGATGCTCTTCAACAAAAAGTGTCCTTTCTGCAGAGCCTGCTGGTTGAAAAATCGTGAAGAGGCGGAAGAGGATGCCCAAGCAACTCACCGTTAATAAAATCTAGAAGCAATCACGTCCTTGCAAATTTGGTCTGGAAGGACGCTAAGAAGGATCGTGACCCCACGATGTTCCACCCTCTCATAGGACGGCTCGATGGGCTTGTCGACCTTCAATCTCAACTTTTCAAGTGGCTTCATCTTCAGCCAGGTGTCATACAAAGCCTCTGCCTCTGTCACCGTCGAATGCCACCATCCTCTCGCACTGGTCGCTCATCAGTGGCATTGCAACCGTCAACCAATCACCGAATGCCAGACTGGCGCCCTCACTTCCCGGCATGGGAAGAGCTGGCAGTTCGAGCTGCCTGAACACTTCATTCACTGGCCAGGAAGAGGATTGTCCCCAGGATGCTCCGGAGTCGGCACCTTGGGCTTCGGTCCTCGTCAATGACCATGCACTCCATTGGACGGCCTAACCTGGTCGTTTCCAGTGCTAGCAACCGATGCAAATGAAGCTGAATCACCACGTGAGATCTTTTGAATTGCAAAAAGCTCTTCTGCTTCCTGCAACACCCTTTCTCTCACGGCCTCTACCTCCTGGTACGTGGGGCTCCGTCGACCACCAGCTGGAGCAGGAGGATCTGTCGCCGGTCGGCCTTCATAATGTGCACCATCTGAACCTTCTCACACCAAAAAAGGTTCAGCTCCGGAGGTCTCTGGGTCTGAGGAGTTGAACTCAAATAGGGATCCAGGACACGTGGTTGAGGGCCTAAATCACGACGATATGGCCTGCACCCAAACCATGAACAGCACCAAGACGGGGTCCATCCTTGAAATAGCGGAGCTAACAGACCCTGCCCAGGAGGAGGAGGATGGTAAGCTCCATGAAATGCCGGACCAAAAGCTCGCTGAAGAATCTCGATCGACTGACGCACCGATTCTCGCCACCCGTCAGCACCCTGGTTTGGCTGCTGACCCCCCCCAGCTCCTTGATCCAAGTTTCGATCTCCTTGGCCACGGTCTTGCACTGCCGTCGAAGCCAAAGAGCTCGCCTGAACTCCTTGCCGGGGATTGGCTGCCAGCCGCCGCACTGCTGCTGCTGCTGCACCAGGAGGCGTTGATGCTGCTCTTGCCGCCTTGGATTCTTCAAGTAGTGCATCCAGGCGTTCATCTGCAGCGCCCAGCCGCAAGTTGCCTGGCCGATCCTCAGGATCTCTGATCCTCTCAGCTCTCTCCCTCGATCCACGACGCCGGCGCTGTGCAAAGCCGCTCATCGGGACAACCCCAAAAAAGGGGGTGGACTTGAGAACCCTCAACGCCTTGGGCTCATCGCACAGCTTTTCTTGAGCCACGCACACACGATTTGGCATCTAGTTATGCCCTGAGGTTCAAACTCAGCTGGTTAACATGTTCACATCATCAAGCTTTCATCAAGGAAGGAAGTGTACTTCCATGCACAGTTTCAAGAAAGTCAGTGTCATTTTGTTGCTATCTGTTACTCTGCTTTGTGGAAAACAAGACATCCGAACACCTCCGAAACATCTCATGTTGTTTCTTCATTTTATGTTGTTCTCTTAGCCCCCAAGAGCTCAAAAGCCTCAAACAAATGTGAGAAACGAGGAAGCCTCGTGACACGAGATGTGGAGATGTGCGGAAGAATGAACATGAAAGAAATTGAAAGAGGAATCTCAGGGCGCAGCCTGTTTTGCTTAAGCCAAAGAAGCTCAATTAGCCAAAGTAGCAACAATGCTTGAACGCTTTACCTGATCTTGCCAGAGGACTCCAGACCCAAAGGGCGGATTGATAGCTTCAACTTGGGAGGCTTTCATGCTTTAAGCATCTTCCGTTTAATCAAGTGCTTGACGCAGTGCCTGTGGGCCATGTTCGTTTGTTGTGAACTCCCCTAAACCCAGCCAACCTGGTGGTCCAACGAACCACTTGAGCACAGTGACACAGACTTCGATTTCAAAACAAAGTGCGACAACCTAAATAGCGATGGCCTGCAACCTAATGGCGGCTAATAGCATCTTGAGCTCCTAATAGCCATGGCCTCCGATTAGTTTCAGACCGGAAAAGGACTGGACAAAATCAATGAGTTCAGCTGACTCAGCCTTAGGCAAGCCTTTTTCTTCTCCGCGCAAGATGTGTATGCCCGTGTAAGAGAACTGGGCAAGCCGCGCAACAAGTACCAGCCAGCTGGCTGCGCAACATCGGAACAGTGTGGATGTATATTTTATAATATCCTAAGAGCTTCTTGCTACTAGTAGTAAGGCACTTGTTACTAGTAGCGATGCACTTGTTACTAATAGCTTCTTGCTACTACTAGTAAGGCACTTATATAATGTATATCCTAATAGCTTCTTGCTACTAGTAGTAATGCCAAGAGCTACCAGTAGCTTCTTGTTACTATATCATCGCTGCCATCGCTAACATTATATACTTCAACCAAAACTTACAATCTCGGCTTTGATGGCTTGTGAGGTTGACTATAACTTCGGCCATTCGACTATTTATTTCGAGCATGCAAAACATATCCATTTCCAAACGTGTTTCCAAACGTACAAATCTTCGAGGGCTTCTACGTCACCCAAACAAGAATGCCTTCTTTACACTTTGAGGTGAGCATCCACATTCAGTGACCTGCCATTTGGGGTCGTGTTCAACTCAAGGAACCAAACGAACCACACCAACTCAACCCAAACGGACAAATAAAACCAAAACAACTGACCAACCACAACAGAGTAGTGCCAGTTTGTGTTCCACCTCGGGAGAAACTTGGATAGGCTCTCTCGATTGAGCCCAAATTTGAGCTCAAATTTAAGCCAGTGCACCTCCTGAAGAGAATTCTCGAAGAGAATTTCTCCAAAAAGAGTTTCAGGAGATTGACACTTTATTGGTCCAAATTTCTCGAGAATCACCCAAAGTCTGTGACTCAGAGAACTTGGATGTTGAAAAAAAGATAAAAGTCTGTCGCAAAAACATTGTCCAAAGAGACTCAAACTGATTGCGGCTGAACTAGGAACAAGAACGCTACTAGGAGCAAAGGGCATCGCTACTAGGAGCGATCGGACGCTACTAGTAGCTCCAGTTGTGATGGTTGCAGTCTGTTTGTTTCTCTTGGACCCTGGCCATCCGACGTGGACGGCCAAAAATCTTTCGTCGTTTGAGATCAATGGAAAATAGGTTCAATCTCAAAACGCCGAACTCGGTATGCAAACGACTTGACAAAGTCGTTACCCGTCGAATTCTTCAGTCGACTTTGTCAACCTATTAATAAATGATCAGGAATGTATGGCAAAGCTATGCGACAAATGTCTCCACCTTATCCAACGGAAACGCTCAGGGGTTCAGAAGCCAAAAAAGTCAAAACAGCGGCCGAGGAGAACACGATCTCTTCACTTCTTCATGTGGATCATGATCTCAAGTCATGCGAAGCACAACAGGTTTAATGGAGGCCATCGCTAGCAGGTTGGCCATCGCTACTAGGGTGGAAGCACAGCAGGTTGAATCAAGTTCTCAAATCCCAAGGACACGGCGTTTGCCCGCAGATTCTGGGACAAATTCTCGAACACATCCATGATCCTACAGCATTCCATTTATCAAAACCACACCTTGATGCATGGAACTGGAAGCACAGTTTCAGTATACATCCAGTATGTTTTGTGTTGTTACACGCCTCCTTGCTGTTTCCAACCAGGAACGCGCAAAACGGGCAGGAAGCAGGAAAGGAACAACCATAGAAAGCAAACACGTCTGTTTTGAGCATGAAAAAGGAAAAGAAGAGGAAAAAGGACGCTACTAGGGGCAAGAAGCTCCTGGCATCGCTACTAGGAGCAAGGACGCGTCTAGGAAGAAGTCTGAGCGGTGCCCTTTGTTCCTAGTAGCGTCCTTGTTCCTAGTAGTAAGGCCAGGAGCCCCTAGTAGCGTTCTTGTTACTACTAGTAAGGCCCTTTGTTCCTAGTAGCTTTTTGTTACTACTAGTAAGGCACTTGTTCCTAGTAGCTCCTTGTTCCTAGCAACTCATCGGCTGCGCCAGTCCTCTGGAACCATGCCTCAACATTCGCGGCTGCAGAGGTGTGTTCAGCTTGTTCTTTTCGCCTGAGAAACACTTTTCGGAACCCACAGAAAAGGAAAATACAATAAATAGAAAAAAACACCAAAAAATAACAAATATGTTTGATATGTTTGATCATGTTTGTCAACTTTCATTTTGATATATCACTTGTTTCTTCACCTGCCTTGCTTCTTCTTCCCTCTTGGCTTTGAATTGTCTTGCATCATCAAACGGATCATTCGGAGGATTGTTGAGCATTCCCTGAAAGCAGGGCTGTCGGCAAAATCTTTCGAACACAAAGCTGGTGACATGTGTGACCAAGGATGACGTAGTAGGCGCCATTTGAATCCCCAGTGATGAAATCAATCGAAAGGATATTCTGTTCAAAACCCATGTTCTTTTGGTGCCAAAATTTGTGACAAGAAATGCCATATTTAATATAGTAAACTGGTTTTGTGCCTTGCTCAAAGGAATGTCTCCAGGGTACAGACTGGAAACCGATGAAAGCAGTGGAACACGATGACACAGAAAAAAACATGTATGATAGACAGTCGCGGCGTTTCGCGCTATCTATCGGACATCAAATCGGTTGGCATTAGTTGGGTTGGAGGCGTGGCTATTGGCGTATAGGCCATCGCTACTAGGGTGGAGGCCATCGCTATTAATTAGGTTGGAGGC